TGAACATTAAAGCATGTCAACATATTCTGTTACACCAAATACACAAAATAATGATCTTTAAAATAGCATCACATGGCCCCTTTAAGGAAAATGTGCTCCCAGTGTGTATGATTGCAGAAAAGATAGTCTGTTAAAGAGCAGTGCTGAAAGCTTCCCTGAGGAGTGGAGAGGAAACTTCTCCCTGACAATGTTCAACAAACTGATACAGGAAAACGTCTGCAACATCAGAGGGATCAGCAGTGTCATTTTTATTTTTGCGTGTTTTCATTCTGTTCTATTGCTGTAGTGTGTTTGTTCCTTTGAGGTGGAAAAAAAAAACTTACAACCTCAACCATCTGAGACCATCACAGCCTTGGTGAAACAGCTGATGATATAATCTGTTATTAACTATTAAAGGGGTCATATGATGCTGCTAAAAATAACATTATTTGGTGTATTTGGTGTAATGAAACGTGTTTATGCGGTTTAAAGTAAAAAAAAACATTATTTTCCACATACTGTACATTATTGTTTCTCCTCTATGCCCCGCCTTTTGCCGTTTTAGGTAGGTGTGGCTGACTCTTAACTTTTATAAAGAATATCTCTTTGGATTTGAGACTTTAGTCTTTGCAAATTTACAGATCTTCTTTATGCATCAAGAGCTTGTAACACTCCAAAGAGAAAGGAACAATTGAAATCGCATCATATGACCCCTTTAAAATGTGCCATATACCGTGACTTGTACTGCAGCATTCAGACACGCATCATTCCAGCTTTCCATTTGTGTTTAGTGAAATTAATAATTTATTCTGTTAACTGTTGGCCAAAACATTATTTCTGATATTCAATTTGTTAGCATTTTCATTTCCATATAGTGAATTTTAACATTTACGCATTTAATTATTATAGTTTTTATTATTTATTTGTATATTATTTAATTTTACCTCTATTAATTTAAATGAATAAATGGATTGGTATATAAATAATTTTGAACTAGTAAACAACAACATTAAAATGCATCCATATCATTTGTATTATAAATACATTCACTCAGTTACATAACCAACAGTAACCCATTGCGCGCAACCCAGAAGAGTGCCATAACACACTGCGATCACAATCACACTTCAGTTTCACAAGAACACACTAAATGATAGAATGAACACTGAACTTCAAAATAAACACAAAAACAAATGCTAGAGGAATTAAACTGTAGTAGGTTACGACACGTTGCATTGATTGAATCCAAACAGCACAACTAAAATAGGCAAATAATAATAATAAAAAAAACGAAATGCCCAAAATCAAATACAGCCATTACCACCACAAACAAAGTTCTCTCTTTGCAATTGTTCATAACACCACAAAATTATTTATAGCAGTTAAGGTTTCTGGTCACCATAGGTACAACAACAAAGTTAAAAGCAATATGATTATTGCACACTCTAAAGAAAGGAAAGGATTTTCTGGAAACTCAGCATGATTTTTATTAGAATTAGACATTTAAAAATATAACCATAAATGCAGTTAACTATTAAAAAAATAAATAAAAAAAATAAAGATTATCACCTACCGAGCCGCGTCTGGTGTCTGTTCTCTAAATGTAGGGTCACGCACAAAAAACCAGTAGCTCCTCACTGCAGAACACAAGATCCAGAGGGCATGGTTGGATCCACATCTAGGGGGTGGAGATGGGTGGGTTTAGGTATATGTAAGGTGGGAGGAGTTGGATCAGGATCCACCCACGCCCCCTGGATCTTGTGTTCTGCAGTGAGGACCCCACAAGAATCATTTCCTCAGTCCCTCCCTCACAACTGTAAAGGTCTGCTTACTTTCCATATCAGTCAAGAGCTTTTATAAGTGACATATAAAGTATATGGTGTCAAGTCATGTCTTGGACACATATTTTATACCAGAATCAGAAAAAAAATGAGCATTAAGGTTCTTCATGTAAACTACTTATGGGCATATACTGTATATATATATATATATATATATGCTTTTTTAGAATTCATTTTAAATACTTTAAACAATTTATTAATTGGTTAATCTTTTCCCACAAACTTTGCTCTGTTGTTCTGCCTGTGTTGCTTCAGATTGTTTTTATTGGTCACATTAATAATGAGAGAGACGGCACACACACACACACACACACAAAGTGGTAAGCTTCACATCTTCTTCTTCTTCTAATTCCTGGTCGTTTATTGGTCCGCTACAGCACAGTTTATATACTAACCTTATTATACATAATCATTTATCATCGATCAATGACTTTGGGTAAACCAATTATCAGATAAGGTCTCCTACTTCTGTATGAAGATCAGTGGTTCTTAATCCTGGTCATGGGGACCCACTACTCTGCATTAATCACACCTGATTCAGATAACTTACTCACTTAACTGAGTGAGAGACATGCAAACTGTGAAAGTGATGTGACGTGTAGCCAAGTATGGTGACCCTTGGAATTTGTGCTCTGCATTTAACCCACCCAAGTGCACACACACACACACACACACAGTAGTGAACACACACACACCCTGAACACACACCCGGAGCAGTGGGCAGCCATTTTTGCTTCAGCGGTAGCAAAATTAATAGTGGTATTAAAGGTGCAAGAGAGCACTGGTCATTCACTCCCCCACCTTCAATCCCTGCCGGTACCAAGGCTCAAACCCACAACCTTTGGGTCACAAGGCAGACCCTCTAACCATTAGGCCACGACTGCCCCATGTACAGAGTGGGTGTCCCTAGGAACTGAATTAAGAACCACTAAATCATATTTGTGGAATTTTTACTCTTTTTAAGGCTGAAATGTGTCTACTTCAGCAAATTGTGTGCGCTATTTTACATGTAGCCTACACAAAAAAACATTATTGTGTGGCATAAAGTGGCATTTACCTGAAATAAGTTCAGGACAAAAGTGAAGGATCAATCTATCTAGTTTATTTGGCTTATTTCTTTGATTGTTATATGTCTGTCACGGGTTGCTACTGTGAGAAGCACGGAGCGAGGAGACCAGGAGTACAAAACAAAGTAGTTGAACATTCTTCTTCAGAGAATCACACATAGCACAAGGAGGAGACATAAACAATTCCAGACCAAAAAAGTCAGAACGGGACTCACTATAAATACACAGACACCAATGGGACACACCTGGGAGCAAATTAACTAATTAAACAACCACAGCTGGAACCAAATTCATACAACGAGGACAGGAACAGGAAGGACCAAATAAGGAAAACAGGA